TGAGTGATGACTTTGTGGTCACCTTAAATCTATATAGGTTTCAAGTCAGATGGCCTTGGTTCCATGCTGGCTGAGGCCCTTCTCGCTGGGCCATGTGGCCCCGCGAGCCTCAGAACCCTTACCTGTTGAGGGGGATAATAGCGCCCACCCTGGAGAGTGTTGGGAGTTTGGAAGGCAGCATGTTGGCAGAGGCCTGGTCCTAGTCAGTGCCCCATGATTGGCTGCTTTGGCCGTGACCTATTGCTGCTGGGCATGGGGTGGGGGCAGGGGTGTCCAGGTCAAACCTGGAGCACTAGGTCTTTGTGGGCTGGTTGTGAGAGTCACTTGCTGCTAAGAACTCACAGGAAAATATAAAGGGAGCCCTCCCTACCACCTTTAGGGGCAGAGGTGGCAGAGGCCTCAGCTTGTGGGTCCAAGAGAAGCCAGGTGGGCTTCAGAGAGGCAGGAACTTCTGTGACCCACAGGAGTGTCCTTCTCCTGGGCAGGCTTGAGGTTCGAGTAGCCTCCTGGGCTTCTGGGTGAGCTGCCTCCCAGTCTGTGCCATCCAGAGGGGCCTGGGTCTTCCCAGGTCATCCTGCAGACTCTGGGGACCAGGACTGCTGATGGGGAGCCCCCAGCCTCCAACAGTGGGAGTTGCCACCCACAGCTTTGAGTTGGGGAAATGAGGTCCAGAGACAGTGGGGTGTGTGGCCCAGAGGCACGCAGCCGGGCACAGGGGAGCTGGGGCTCCAACCCAGCTCTGCCGGCAAGCTGGGACCCACGTGCTTGTCAATATACCCTCAGGCCAGGACTGGATGACCAAGAAGGCTGCTGCATCCAGGGAGGAGGGGCAGAGGGAGAGGGAAATAGGGCAGGGGAGGGAGGGAGTGTCAAGTGGGAGAAGAGGGGAGACGGAAGAGGAGGAGCAGACAAGAGGGTACAGAAGGGGGCGGTAGGGGAGGCTTTGTCCTGAGCCCAGGGTCCATATCTAACTTCGGACTGAGCTCTCTGCCTAGAAGTCCCATAGTCCCCTGCAACTCAGTGTGACCCTGTTTCTCTCCCCACTGCCCCCAAACCTTCCTACAAGCCTTATTCCTGGGGGCCATCAAGCCTCCTCCCTCTCCCTCTCCCTTGTGCCCATGCTGCTCCCCCGCCAGCCCCTGTCCCCTGTTCCTTAGTGCTTCTTCCAGCCCCCTGTGACCTCTGTCTCCTTAGTCCATCCGCACAGCCAGAGGGACCACTCACAAACAGCCTCCAGCCCCCCTGTCTCCTGCAGCTGGCCCTTCCCCAGCTCCCGGTGTCACTCAGCTGGCTAGCCTTGTCCCAGTTTCTGTTCGGTTCCAAGTCCTGCTGTTCCAGCGACAGGCCCCCTCTATGCCCAGTGAAGAGTCCACCGCTCCTCAACACGCCACACTGCTATATCGGGCTCCACGCATTTCCCTGCACAGTCTCTCGCTTCAGGACTGTCCCTCCCACAGCTTGACAGATGTCCCTCCCCACACCCTACAGCCCCTCCTCCTCTGCAGGCCCCTTCCCACACCTCTACTGCAGCCCCCAGTGCTTTGCTCCACGAGGTCATTTTTCTTTCCTCTCTCTACCCTGCCTCTGGCCTCAGGCTCTGATTCATCCGTTTCTCCTGGAGCCCGACACCGGCCTGGAACTCGGTACCGGAATGGCACGGTCTCCCCCCACTTGAAAGGCTTGTGGGAGCTGGCTTTTCTCCTGGAGGGAAGTTGGGTTTTAGGCAGAGGAGACCGTGCTCAGGGCTGTCTGGAATAAGCTGAATGGGGTGGCAATGACACTGCCAGACAGGGAGGTGGAGGGAGGGCCCCGGCTTGGTGGAGATCCATCTTTTCTGGTGAATGTGGGTCCAGAGAGGGCCAG